TGCGTGCAGGAGTGCCTGTCTGTGTGTGGGAGGGTGTGTGGGGCGTCCGTGTGTGTGTCCGTCCCCCCGCCTCCGGGGATGTGACGAGCGAAAGGGCGCTGGCACCAATAACCGCTGCTTCTACCTTTCAGCCTGAATTTCAAGGACCCTGAGGCGGTGAGAGCTCTGACGTGTACCCTCCTGAAAGAGGATTTTGGTCTTACGATTGACATCCCCGTGGAAAGGCTTATTCCCACCGTTCCCTTGCGCCTGAACTACATCCACTGGGTGGAGGATCTCATTGGTCATCAGGATGGTGACAAGCAAGTCCTCAGGCGAGGCATTGACATAGGTAACTTGGAAAGGCAAAATGTTCAATTCGTTATTTACTGTCAGTGGAACTAGCTGGTAAAAGTTGCTACGCTTCCATAGAGAAACGTGAAGTTTGAGAAACAAAAAAATCCGAACTGTGCTCACCATAGTGAAACGGGTAATATGATTCCACTGGTATTTCATTTGGCTTCTTGGTGGGTAGGATTTCTCTGTGTGAACGCACGAATGACCATAGCAGGCAATTATTTGGCTTTTTGTGGCCTTGAACTTTCTTGAATGTAGCTTGGTGTCGTATACAAAAATTATGTTGCTAGTAACGCAGCAAAAATGTCATTGTACAGGAAATTAAAAAAAAAAGCTCAGTCTTCTAACTAGCAAATTCTGTTATGTTAGCAACCTATTAATTTTGCTTTTGGATGTCTGTATGAGAGAGTTTGTGAGTCGCATAGTAATATTTTTAGCATTCCTTTTAATAAAACTACTTCTGTGGCTTCACATGTATTTGACAGATGAATGATCTGTCTTTTTTAAACTTTTTTTTTTCCAATGCAGCTATTTTCATGACGTACGTTGTAAAAGAGGCATAATTAGAAACTGAGGCAAATACTTGCAAAACTATCTTTTGATTGTAGATGGTCAAAGATTTCCTGTATGTTGTTGAAAAAAAAAAAAATTTTTAAACTGGACTAAGCATCCACAGATGGATAATATTGTCCAGTGCACAAGTGTAGGAGCATTGCAGCTTGCTCAGTTTCAGTATTTGGATTATTGGATGATATATGGACAATATCTGGATTAAGTAGTAGATTAAAGGAAACAGTTATACAGTAGAGGTGTGAATTTATAAGATGTACACTTATGCACATAATTTGGTTTTCATTAGAAGTAAAAAAGGCAAGCTCTGTAGGAACAAGAAACTGTGTTCCACATACAGATAATAAAATCGGCATTGGGATTCAAAAATTTTGGTGATTCTTTATAAATTATTTATAAGGTACCTGCGATGGTACATTTGAATTTAGTACACATCTTTTATTTTTGTCAACAGAATCTTCCTTTATGATTTCAAAGGCTTGTTTTTGAAGATTGTTTTGTGCTGAAGTGAACTCATAATGAAATTGAGAGAGGCTGGAATTTCCTTTCTAACTTGTGGTTTAATGCTTGACATTGAAACTTTAAAGTTACTGACTTCAAAACTTGGGTTCAGTAATCTCAGTTACCATGCCAGTTTCTTCATTGCTGTTTTCTTGATGTTTGCTAGCATGATTTTTTTTTAATGGAATTTTTGATTTCCTGATTTTTATTGACTTGCATTTTTAGCTGGATTTGTGATGGATACAAGGCTTGTATCATCATGTGGTGTGTGTGCACAGCTGCTTTCCTTTCATAACTCCTAAACTTGTTAGCCAGCTTTTATGCATTTGATATTAGGTTGCATTTTTGGAAACTATTTCTATGAACTTCGTCACGGTAGGTGGCTAGATAGTAGAGATAGATCCTTCACTAAGTCGATATAACACTAGACTTTTGATATGTAAGTTTGACTTTCATTGGTAATTTGATTACCTAGATATGCCATAATTATAAGAAGGCATTATTTTGAGCTAGCATATATTTCTCTTTGTTACCAAGTTTTTATCTGTCAGGCTGTCTTAATTGGCACCTCTGTTTCTTTGATTGTTTTGGGCATTAGGGAAGGACAGTCGGATGGAACAGAAATGTTGTGGGTTTGTTTTTTTCAGTGGTTGCTATATGCATCAAAGTAAATCATTTGTGGTAGATAATAAAAAAATGCAGAAGAAAAATATATTTATGATAGGGTGGGTTTTTTGTTGGGTTTTTTTGTTTTTGTTTTTGTTTTTGGGTTTTTTTGGCAAAACCAGAATATATTTGGCTTTCATTATATAATCACTGTCATATAGAAAAACAAAAAGCCTAAAAAGAAGTTGATCATTTACTAAAAATTTATTTCAGATTGTTAAATTCTTCATTTTATTAAAAGTGCATATTTGACAATGCTGTATTTCAAATTAAGAAAAAAAGTTCACTAAAGAACTTAGTAGTGGATGACCAGTAATCAACATTTTCTTGAAATTACTACTTTTTGTTGTAAAAAGTACATAGTTAACAGCCACACTGCATGTAACACCAGCGATTTGTTTTGCCTTTCTCATGGCTTTTCACTTCTGCAGGGACAGGGGCGTCTTGCATATACCCATTACTTGGGGCAACTTTGAATGGCTGGTATTTTCTTGCTACAGAAGTGGATGATATGTGCTTCAATTATGCCAAGAAGAACGTGGAACAGAATAACTTGTCCGATCTTATAAAAGGTATGATGTAATAAGGTATTTAATAGCATACAAATGTTGTGATGTATTTTTGCCACATTCAGTGGCATATCAGAATCTGTATACCTGCCAAATATATGCTTAATTGTTTTTACTGAAGCAGAATGTTTACTAAGGTCTCTGTATGCTTAAGCCAGGAAGTCGCAGCTTGTCTCAGATGGGATGTGTGCACAGACAACTACTCATCCTTACAAGAATCTGAAAGTTAAACTTCACTCTAGGGTGTTTTCCTCTCTCCATGTTTTTTTTGTCTGTTACTGAAATATTTCTTAGAGTTTGTGCCGTTTCCTGTGCTAGGAGACCTGGATTGCTCACCTCAGATAACTTGCATGATGCTGACACATATGCGTATCTTCTACAGCGAGAGTCCTTCGTCCTCATTTCTGAATTAGGTCCTAACAGTGCCTGTGGTAGTAGCAGTATGTCACACTTGGTCTGTGGATGACCTTGAAAAACTTTCTATGGGAACTCAGTGTACTGAAAAGCAGGTCCATTATTCAGCTCTGAAATAAAAATTTTACTTCTGCTGGATTTTGGAAGTACCCTTTTTACCAAAATGTTGTCGTTGTGGTCTGTCCTCTATGTCAGTCGAAGATCCAGAATTTAATATGGAGAACAATGACAGTTTTATGTTACTGTTGCCATTGTCACAAAAGTGGGATCGTTTACCTGGTGTGCAGCATGCCAATATACACACGGAGCAGAGTTATTTTATTTATTTCATGTCTGTGCAGAGGATGGGTGCTAGGTGGTAATTCCACAAAGCTAGCATGCTACGCACAGAATCTACAACATATTATCTTGTTACAGGATTAGAAAAAAACAGCCTAAGTTTATGCTAATTAATTAATTATGGTTAGTGATTACCACATCATCTCCTATTGGTTAAGCATATTTAAATGAGCATGCATGCTCCTTGAGGGTGTGTGTGGGGGGCCAATTTGCATAGTCCTTTAATTGGGTGGGTGGTCGCAAACTCCCCCAGCCACCTTTCCCCTAGTTACTGCCGATTTTTGTTGACTTCAGGCCTCTCTGGCAATCACCCAGCTCTGGGTGCCTTCTAGGGCAGGATGTTTCCTTTTTATCAGTTTTTCTGCTGCTTTTCAAGGATACTTTTTAGCAAAGCATGCTTTTTGTCAGTCCTTTGGCTCTTCTTCAAAGGTATAGTTGTTAGCAAAGCAAGGTAGGGCATTTAACCCTAAATTAAACAGTGTGTAAGCACTAACCCAAACCCATTTCTGTCCCTGTAAAGTGGAAAATTCTACTTTATAGATATTACTATCATAGAATTTTTAGTCCTGTGGTGGTGTTTCACTATATTGGAAAAACCTCTGGCAAAGGAAAATGCCTCATGTGAAGCTGTAGTGCCAAACGTGATAAGCTGAAGTAAATGACTGCTGGTGGGCAGAACCACAGGTGAGGGAGCACCACTGGTGGTACCTGTAGCCAGACACTGCCTGGGAATGATCCACCCTGCCACTTTTTAACTCCTGCACCTGAATTGTTTAGCTAGAGATGAGTATACTACTGTACCTAGTAACTTGTTTAGCAAGGGATTTTGGAGTCAAATTAGAAATCTTTCTATACCTCTGTGTGGGTTTTTTTTTAAAAACCAACAAAAAAACAATTCTATTTTTGTCATGTTCTAAGAGTCTGTCTTGAAATTCTTGCCAAATAGCTTCATTTGGAGATCATGTTGGAATATAGTCTTTTGTTTTTCTAACTTCAGTGAAAAAAAAAAAATCAGTGATAGTAAAACCAGCAGTAACACAGTGATGATTTACAAATTGCATCATAGCTTCTTTTTTCCCCAAAGGAAAAAAAGTAGCCTTTTTTTGGCTGAAAGTGAAATACTGCTTGCAGTAACTTTCTTCCAAAAGGAATCTCTCCTATATGTGCAAAACAGAAACTGATAAACCTGGGGATTGATTGTAAATGCTAAAAAAAATGACATGGTGTTCTGAGTTGTGTATCTGTTTTACTGGAATGGAATGGTGGCCAGAATTTGTCTGCTGGTATTTAAAAAAAAAAAAATAAAATTCAGTACCCTGTACGTAATGGTAGATTAAGAGATTTTCAGCAACTTGGACTCTGGAAGTTTTCGAACTACTTGCAAGGTAATTTAGGCTTGTTCTGTGACATTATTACATTGTTTGCTTCCTATTTGTTTTATTTGGTTTTTTATTTCCAAATAAAATCACATAATGTCAATTAAAGCTATGTCAGTCAAGCTAGCTATGTAGGTGGAATGTGGTGTTCCTTGGTATCATCTTCTGAGTAACTTTGCAGTAATTTTAGAAAGTATGTACAATAGACCATGTGTTACTGCTCAGATTAACACAATCTTTTTGCAGAGTTCTGCTCATCTTTAGCCCTGTTGTCTGCTTTCTCTACTATAAAAACTAATTCCATGGGTTTGTTTTGGTTTTGGTTTTTTTCCCCTCCTCCATAAAATTGAAGAGGGTATTGCTAAGAAGAAAGGCAGTGAAGTACTCTCATAGCCGTAGGCTGGATATTTCAAAGCATTTATACAAGTAAATGTCTCCTCTGTGTGCAACAGCAGCTGCTCTGTTACACCTCAGTGCCAAAAGTACGCTCTGTGCAGCTTCTGGAGATGTGTAGTGATTTCTTGGAAGACTATAACCTGAAAACCATCAGTCCAACTGATGTAATGCCTGGCCGAATAACTTTTGGCTTTGCCTGTGATGTGTAATTGTAATTACTAATTTGTATTTAGTAATTTGTAATTAGTAATTACTAATTTTACTAGTTTACCATTTTTAGTGTTATAAGTGAAGCAGGGGAACAGATGTCTACAAAGATAAAAAAGCGTCACACTTTAATGTCAACAATTTTAAATGTGAAACATAAGGAGAAATGCTAAGTGTTTATAAATTTAAGATTATAAAACAGGGAACAATGTGTTAATATATTTTAAAAATGAACTATCCTTTTATTCTCATAGGATTTAAAATTTGTTTATCTCTTGACTGTATATTTCTGTACTTTGAAATGCTTGTGACTTACAGAACCACAGCTTTAAAGTTAGTGGGTGTTCTAGGTATTATTCTTGCTGTATATAACCTGAACTTTGGTAATTGCCTGCAACCCTAATAATTTTGTATTCTTAGGATGATGATAAACTGTAGTAGTAAATGTGAGGAAGAGGCATGCCTTCTGCCTCCATTCTCAATATCTTCGTTCTATGTGCAATATCCATGAGTTGCAGGACTGGTAAAGTCTGCAAGAAGTCCTGCTTGTAATAATCTTTGTACATGCTTTAAATGGACTTCATCCATATTTAAATTCCTGCTCCTTGGGTTGGAGTTTCTGTGGTCTTCAGAAGATATGTAACAGGACTTGACCACAATTTCCAAGGGAATTACATAGCCTTTGAGGAAAGACAGTGGAGATCTAAGTGGGATGTTTGCCTTCATCCTTGTGATGGGTAATAGTAAGTTGGTGGACCCTAGTAAGCAGACGGTTGGTTCAGAAAGGAACTCTATAATCTTTTTTTTTCTTCTTCTTCTTTGTTGTGATGATTTTAAATTGTATAAGATTACAGTTCCTGTGCAGGATGCATAGTATTGCTAACACAATGATTCTGTTATTATTATAAAATTAGATGTAAAGCTAATCTCAGTGCTGTGTAACTTCACTGAAGATAGCTTAATCTTAGTCTTTCTCTTTCTTAGCTTTACACTCTATAAAGACCAAGTAATACATGTTCTTGAGTATCATTCTAGAATTCCATATCTTAAAAAAAATAATTTGCTTAGATTGGGCTTTCTTTATCTCTGAGGAGCCTGTGGGCTCCTATAATTAACAGACACTTGTGTTAATTTTTGGAAGGGCTGAAAGTGTATTTATAGTTGCATCAGAGAACTCAGTATAACTCAAGCAGTTCCTATTGTTTTAAACACACATGTAATTCTACTACTGTGTATAATAATACAAGTTGTTTGTATGCTAATCCTTAAACTGAAGTCTTTATTTGCATGCTGATGTATGTTACATTTTTTGTAGAAAGTATTGTTTAGAAAGTACAGTTTTTACACAATGTATTCTTTCAAGAAACACTGAAATGTAAATTGCATGGTAGATAAAATATGAGCTTCCTTATTGACCAAATTCCTATTTTCTGTTAGTGGTTAAGGTACCACAGAAGACTCTTCTCATGGATGCACTGAAAGAAGAATCTGAGATCATTTATGATTTCTGCATGTGCAACCCTCCCTTTTTTGCCAACCAGTTGGAAGCGAAGGTATGTTAACCAACTAAAGTGTTCAGTGAGTGGGCGGGTAGCAACAATTTAACATCTTTCCTTGGGGAAGGTTGAATGGAAAATCCCAAATCATTATGAAACAGCATTTAAGTCTTCTCCCTCCCCACCTCTTGCCCCAAAGGAGTTTTGAAAAACTTAACTGTTACCCTTCCTGAAGTGGAATTTTTTCACAAATTCTTACTGTCTTAGATGCGTGTAACCAGCATGTCTTACATGTATTTGAACCACATATTTCTTGTTAGCAGGATACTGATGTGTAACAAGTAACTCACCCAGGTCTGAGATTGTAGGGAGTTCACTCAGTTACGCTTATTTTGAATATATCTCTGTCCATTATCCGTGGTTCTGATTGGAGAAGGATAACTAGAGGTGGCGACACTTGCTACGCACTCAAGATTGAGGCAGGAAGCAGTGCACAAAAGAGCCTAACATTTCATTAACTATTCATCTCAAATGTTCTTTTTTTATGCAGGGAGTAAATTCTCGAAATCCACGACGTCCCCCTCCCAGTTCTGTAAATACAGGAGGAATCACAGAAATCATGGCTGAGGGGGGAGAACTAGAATTTGTCAAGAGAATTATTCATGATAGTCTACAACTTAAAAAGAGGTTACGGTAAGTGCTTTGTTCCAGTTAACGCCCCCCACCCTTCCTTTTATCTGCTTCTTTGGCAGAAATTATTTGACAATGATATTTTAAATAAGGAAGGTAGCTGTGGTCCAGTGGTATCCCTTTAGTTTGTTTGATGATACATACACAGTAATTATTCTCAGTTTATGTAAAATTAGTTGTTCCTGAGCATCAAACAATTACAACTCATTGTTGTGGATATTTAAAGGCAGAAGACAAAAAAAGCCTGTACGAGTGACACTTGTAGCTTGCAGCTAAATGGGCACACATACTTGCTAAAGACAGGATTGATTCTTAAGGGCTTCTGGTATGGGGGAGTATCTATGACATTGCCTAGTTATCTGTTCATTACCTAAAAGTTTCTGTCTTTTCCTGGCTGAATTTTGCAGCTTTGCCTTCTAAAGGGCACTGTTGTGCTGAATGCTGTCTTGGGTGAACATAAGCTGCAAGAAAAACCATAGTGAGACCTTCTTTTGAACAAGATAAACAGATGGCACATCTTCAGTTGAATATTCCTTTTTATTCTGATTCATTCCTCAAAGAAAGTGGAGAAATTGAAAAAAAACATTGTAAGGGATAACATTTTCCACATAACTAAAGTCACTCTTTGAAACAGGATTCTTGGTTGTTTAGGCACTGTTTCAATAATAGACTTAATGTGTTTCCTAAAAACTCAAAAAGATTCCCTTGTCCAGTCTGTCTTTGGGCCTTCTGTTCCGATTCGTGTTGTACTATGTCCTAGTCTCTGTTTAAGAGTCGGATTATTTTGTTGTTGTTTTGTTGTTAAATCTCCTATTGTTCCTGCAGGTTTCTAATCCAAGTAGTTCTTTCTGGTAGTTACTGTTTCCAGTTGATCTGTATTTGTAAAACTGTGTAATGTGTTGTTTGCAGATGGTACAGTTGCATGTTGGGGAAGAAATGCAGTTTAGCGCCATTGAAAGAGGAACTTCGAATCCAGGGGGTGAGTTTGTATGTAGTCCATTTATATCCTGTATATGTTCTATACAATATATACTATGTTCCAATGCATGTGGGTAATTATTACTGAATTATTTTACTGAGTTTTTATTTACAAGAAGAAACTGCAATTCTTTGTTAGGGAAGCACTCAAAGCAGTTGAGACTTAATTATTATAGATTCAAAGCTAAGTAGCACATATTGTCTCCAGATTTTTGTCTGTATCACATGTAAAAGCATGCCTTTGTCCGTTCTAGAACATACAGGGTTTCTGCTTTAAAATAGCCTTAACATGGCTGTTGTAAAAAAAAAAAAAATTAAATTAAAAAATCTAGCACCCTTTCCTCTTAGCTAACATGAAATCTAGCAATTTGGTTGATAAAATAAATGGTAACATTATTTATATGGCAGCATTTTTTTGTTTGTGTTCAATTCTGGCACCAAGTAAAATCGAACCTGTTCTCATGCAAGAAGGCTATGCAAAGGACTTTTTTTCTGGAGGAAGTGTAGTCTTCTATTATTTCCATGTAAAATGATTGTGAGATCTGTCCTTGTGTATGGTGGAGAGATGAAGGAAAGACAATGCATGTTGAAATCAACTCCCAGAAAAACGAACTGCAGGCCATAGAGAATCCTTAAACTCAGTGCCAAAAGCAGATGCTGAGCTAGGCACTAAATTTCAAGTATCTGACTTTATTCCTTATCCTTGAACTGTTGTACATCAGTCTTACTAAAGTGAGAGAAGTACTTGGGAACCTTGCGTAGAAAAGCCAAGTTTTCCTTTTTCCATTTTTCTTGAAATTACCAATTTCATTTTGTTCAGGTTTGTAATCTTTGTTGTAGTAAAGCTGGGAATATGTTTATTGTAACCAAACACAGGCTGTGTTTTGGTTCAGGTTAGGATGCAGGATAAATGTTCCAGAAAGTTCACTCATTGTTCAAACTGTCCTGACATTTGTTGTATTTATTGGAAATTTTGATAGAATTAGGAATCCAAAGGCAAGAGAAGTTCTAGGGTAGAGACACCTTTTCCTTTCTCTTTTTGAAAGCATTTCTCAAAAGTAAGATTTCTTTTATTTACTTTTTTTTTTTCCTTGTGCAGACCTGGGGTTTATGCTCTGGAGCTGATAATTCATTGAGGTGGGATGGTTGATATTTATCCTTGCTAGTATTCAGCACATTCTCCATACCATGCATAAATGCCTTACAGCATCCATGTGTGGAAAGAAGAGTTAACACTAGCAGTGGAACTGAGTTTTATATTTAAAGGCAGTGTAAGTTCAGACTTGATTTCTTGGGGCAAAGATAGAGAAGTATTTCTGGGCAGGTTTCTGCCATCTGCAGACAGGTGAGTGAGTGGCTTGGCTTCCCTGCCCTTTGTTGCCTTTGTTCTGTGTTCCTTTGCTACTGCAATGGGTTCAATATTCAAACGCAGAACAGGAGCAGGTTCTGAACAAGGAGAAAGAATCTGCTTTTTGCAGAATCAGAATGCGGATGTGTGCTGGGTCACTGCACGAAAAGGGTCGTGTTGGATGTTGCTGAACTTGAAGCTCTGAAAAGACAGACATGGCAGGGCAGAGATGGGAAATCATGGGCACGGTTATTGGGCTTGGCACTGACCAACTTCATGTGGCACTGACATCCATGAGCCGTATCAGAAAGAATCTCCGTTTCTGTCATGAGAAAATAACTCTATGCTAACTTTGTAATTTTTTTTTTAATTGAAAATGTGTGCAGTAAAGCAATGTTGTTTATTAATATAAAATGAAGTTTTGTATTGTTTCTTTGCATAGGTTCCTAAAGTTACTCATACTGAATTCTGTCAGGGACGCACTATGAGATGGGCACTGGCATGGAGTTTCTATGATGACGTACAAGTACCTGTAAGTAGCTTAACTTTGGTTTGCTTGTGATTGTGCCTCTTATTTGAGGAAGGCCCTAATGGGCTGTAACTGCTGTGAAACAAACAGGGAAGCACTCAGGAAGCACTGTTCTCCTTCACACTGGAACGTTGGATGAGCTGGGCTGTAGAGACATTGGGATTTCTTAACTAGCTGCCAGTCTGTTGGCAGTTGTTACATGTGATTCATAAATGACCTATGCTTAGGGAGGAAAAAAAAAAGCCTGTGCAGGAACTTCCTGTGGGTTTCAGTGAAAGTAAGGGTTGCTTGTAACATACTTCAAATAGCAATTTAGTAGTATAAAATATGCTAAGTTTGAGGCTAGATTTGAACTTTAAGCTTCCCTCTGAGAACTTAGAGTCTATATGATAAATTAAATTACCAAATAGATTTGAACATGGCTAGCTCAGACTTGCCTACATGAATGTAAGTGGAGCTTGTTCACCTTATGTAAAGTGAGCCATGTACTTTTTTGGATCCAGATGTACATACACTGTAAGATAGGTATAGACAATAACCAACCTTGTAGAAGATGCAAGTAAACGTTCAGTGAACTTGGATCAAAATGTGGGTGTTAGCACTTGACCTCTATTCCCAAGAGCAGCTGCATTTTCTCAGCTTACAGAGAGCTAATAGTTTGAAAGAACCAATGAGCCTTTTTGCCTAATATCTGAAGATAAACTCCTTCTGTTAGCTGTTTTTAATCTAAAACTCTTTGGAGTGAAGTGAAACACAGGCCGTGTCAATGACTGTTCAGTGGCTTACACTATACTTAGTCCCCATCTTTTCTGAGTACAAAAGTCATCCACTAATTTCAGCCTGGAGAAGAGAAGGCTCCGGGGAGACGCGTTACAGTACCTGAAGGGGGCCTACAGAAAAGCTGGAGAGGGACTGTTTATTAGGGACTGTAGTGATAGGACAAGGAGTAATGGATTTAAACTAAGATAAGGTAGATTTAGATTAGATACCAGGAAGAAATTCTTTACTGTGAGGGTGGTGAGACACTGGAACAGGTTGCCCAGAGAAGCTGTGGATGCCCCATCCCTGGAAGTGTTCAAGGCCAGGTTGGATGGGGCTGTGGGCAACGTGGTCTGGTGGAGGGTGTCCCTGCCCGTGGCAGGGGGGTTGGAACTAGATGGTCTTTAAGGTCCCTTCCAACCCAAACCATTCTAGGATTCTGTGATGATATGATTAATACTGCATAGCACTGTAATTTTTTTTTTCTTCTTCTAGTCACCTCCCTCTAAAAGAAGAAAATTAGAAAAACCCCGAAAACCAATTACATTTATGGTCTTGGCTTCTACAGTCAAAGAGTTATCTGTCAAAGCTGCAGCTATGGGCTGGGATGCTGTAGAAGCTATTGCTGTGGTTAGAGCCTGGGTAGAGAAGATTCTTACTGATCTGAAGGTACAGTATTAAGTATTATATGTTAAAACAACATCCTACTTGAAATCATAACTGTGAGAGGATAGTATGAAGTTCTGCTATTTTTTGCAATAGGTTCAGCATAAACGTGTTCCCTGTGGAAAAGATGAAGTTAGCCTGTTTGTGACTGCCATTGAAAACTCCTGGATTCATTTGAGGAGAAAGAAACGAGAGAGAATAAGGCAATTACGAGAACTTCCTCGAGCTTCTGAAGATATTCTGCAAGCAATGGAAGAGGAAAAAACCAGCCAGAAGAGTGTGAGCAACAATTCAGACTGTGAAAACCCCAAGACTGAAGACTCTGAAGTGAGGTTTATGGCACCTGATGAGGATGTCCGCTTGACCACAGGTGACAAGCTAACGGAAGAATCTGCTGCCAAAGAAGAACACAGTGAGCACATGGAGGAGGAGGAGACGGAAGCAAAGCAGGCAGAAACATCACTTGGCAAAGGTTCCAGTAATGCACAGGAGGAACCTTGCCCTTCAGAGGAAGCTAGCAATCTGACAGCTGAAAAAGAGCAAAGTCCCAAAGAAACTAGTAGATGTTTTCTCTTTAAGTGTTTAATGAATGTGAAGAAAGAAGGAAATGATGTGTTAGTAGAAATGCACTGGGTTGAAGGACAGAACAGAGACTTGATGAACCAGCTATGCACATACTTACGGAACCAAATTCTTCGACTGGTTGCTAGTTAGCCCTTTTTCCTACTTTGCTTTGGTAAAGTCAGTCAGTCCTCAAATTTTGTAAACTATTTTTAATATATTAAAATTTTCAGTTAGCAAAACCTGTTTTTTCCCCTAGAAAAATTGAGTAAAATGGAGATTAAAGTCTCCTTTAATATTTTAAATAGCTTTTTCAAAGCTGCAAGAAGTGCATGAAGTGTACTTCATTGGCCATGAAATGATGGGGAAGTAATAGATCTTGTGCTGCAGTTGTAAAACTACACGTTAAAGTGAAACATGCCTGTGCTGTGACTGTTTCAAATATCAGCAGTGCTTATTCTGGTCTTTTTTCTGGGGCAATAGAATTATATATTGTTACTAAGTAGAAGTCTTTACTGAAATATTTTCTTCAATATTTTTTCAATACTAATGCAGGAACTGGTTAGTCTGCTGTGGGAATTGTCTTCTGCAGCGACGAGTCTTCAACTAAGGATTTAAGTGTGCCTCTCTTCCCTTTAATGCATTTAACCTTTGGGCTACAGAGTGGCAAGATGGATACATCCTCTAAGTGTCAATTCATGAAAATAATCCCTTTAGAAAGACCGTGTATTGTACTTTTCTGGTGCTTGGGCTTGGAAACACGGAAGAGCCTACTGTTAGTATCTGGTTTTGTAAATTTTGTTTTAACAACAAAACAAGCTCTTTGAGCTGCTTGGGTTGAAAAGGATTTAACTATGTTGACTGTTCATTAGACCATTCCTTACACTGATTCAAATATAACTGTCTGAAATGACAGCAATATTCTTAAAGGATTTTGCTTCCATTTTTAAAGATTGCTTTAATGACAGGAATGAGAGCATGTGTTCATCTTCATGGGCCAGAAGTTCCTTATGCGGGTCGAAGATGGGTACAGAAGCTTTAGGCTGTTGAGAAGGAAGACAAGTGGAAAGGAGGCTGTTGCTTCCACACCTGACTCCCTCATCCTTTTTACCAACAGCTGTTTTCCCAGTGTTTCTGGGCCAGTGACCTGCTCTGTGAGAAGGGAGGCTGAGGGACACAGGTCTTGGGTGCCTCAGAGATGGTGTGTGTATGTGTTCTGAGATTATGAGCACCAGCACTGCTTTGCATGAAGTCAGCCTCCCAAGCTGTGATCCATTTCTCTGTAGAGATGTACAGAACATGGAGAGAAAGTGTGTCTGAGAGAGTGAGAGTAGTGTGTATGCCTGTTACCCCAAAAAAAGATACACTCCTGATGAACAGAAGGAAACACCCTGTATGTTCACGCTACTAGAACCACTTTGAATGTTCATCTTTAGTTGTCAATATTTCTGGAAAGATGAGTGTGTTTTCTTAAGTTGAAATTAAAAGCAACTTTGAAAAGCATTAATTCCCCCCCCTCTGTTGTTAGCTGTTGTCTATCGTGCTACTTGGCACTTCTCCTGCAGGTGATGGGCAAAGACTTGAATTTTTTGGGTACTGCAGAATTTTTGCAGAACTGCTGCTGATATTCATGTCAGATGAAACCATCCCTACTCTTATAATCTGAAGAGACTATTTTGGCTAGCCGAGCTGTTAAAAATGGAAAGCAAGGCTGTTTGTCCTTTGTGGTGGTCCCTGTTTATTCATTTCAGTCTCTTTCTGCAAGGGTGAAGAAGCTCTGCAAGGCACTATGTGCCTGTGACATGCTTGTGTTGCTGAAGCAGACTGTGTTACATTGCTTCATTCATTACCTGTCTTTTCACCTGTATGACATGATTAACCTATACTCCTGAGTGTTGCTTCAACAAAGCCATATATTTTTACAAAGAAAGCAGTAGTCTGATTTGGATGACTCCTAGACTTGAATGTTGTCTTGGCATTTAAAACAAATGTTTTGGTATAGGAAAGCTAATCCTGTGTTGGGAAAGAAAAGCAATTAAGAATTGGAATTGGTGTATAACTGCAGATGTAGTTTTAACCTAAACGGGCGTGCAAGACATCTCGGGCGCGCCGAGGTGTGGTGGGGACCGGTTTTACTGCGGGAACATCCATACCCCCTCCCGCAGCACACGGAGGCGGTGCCGCT